GTCTAGGAGGCTGGTTTGGAACTCACTATATAGCACAGGCTGGCCTCAAACTCATAATTCTTCCACTTCAGCCTCCTCTACTGCTGAGACTACAGGAATGTGTCACCACGCCAGGCTCCTTTGTAAGTTGGATGAACCAATGAATACTCAAATAAGGAAAACAGGCACAAAAAATGTTTTGCATTTAGTGTTAGAGTTATGGGTCTCCTGATATTCAACCATGGACTTCTTAGTTATACCCTGGATTCACCTTACCCGTCAATCCTGTTCCTACTGTACACGTGTATGTCCTCTTCAGGCATCTTCGTTGTATCGGTGATCCACCAGCTCCCATGTCCTATCGCTTTCTCATTCTCAACTCAATTTGTGGTAGGACATAGACAAATCAAACATGTACTTAGGACGCATACACACAAAACTCTCAGAAAAGATTAGTAGAAAAAGATATTCCAAAAACAAACAAATCTTCAGGTTTTTAAACATTTGTTGATTACATGTGGGACAAGATCTCAAGCTTCCCAGTGCTCAGGTTTCTGAAGCAATACAATTTCTGAAGGTCTATGGTTAGTCATGCCAGCCTAGTCGGAAAAAAGAAACCAGCTATTCCTGAAAACTTGATTCCTTTCTTGTTTCCTTTGGTGTAAATATATTTAGTGGTTGAACACAAAGAAAAGCAGGTGTGGTGGTACACACCTGTAATCACTGTGGGAGCTGAGGTACAAAGGTCATACATTGGGGCCCGGGATTTAGCTCAGTGGTTTCGCTGCCTGCTGCGCAAGTGCAAGGACCTGAGTTTGTTCCCCGGTGCCAAAAAAAAAAAAAAAAAGATCATACATTTAAGGCCAACCTGCACAACTTAAAGAGAACTTATCTCAAAATTTAAAAATAAAAGAAAAACACCTGGGTGTTACCCTTAATTTCTTCCTCTCAATTCTCTTTATATAGTTATCTTTGTGTTTCACAAAAATTTGTATTGTCTACATGAGAAAATGGGTGGAGAGGAAAGAACTGGGTATATAACTGGAGACTACATAGAAATACAGACAATAGTGACCTGAATTAAGTGTAATACAAGGAATTGAAAGAGGTGGAAAAAAATGTGAGGGAAGAATTTATCATTGGTATATAGACATGTGGGATAAAGAGGGAGTTTGAGTACAGTGCTCTTATTTCAGGATTGAAAGACTAGAAGACAGTGGTGCTCCTTATTGAGAGAAGAGAAATAGTTCAAGGATTGTGTGCATACTGGTTTAGTAGACCAGTACCAATAGTTAACACTTGCTGTAACCTTAATATAGATCCTGTATTTTTCTAAACTTTTTTTTTTTGGTACTGAGGATGGATCCCAGGGTCTTCCCACTGAGCTCCATCCCTAGCCCCTTTTTTATTTGCAAACAAGAGTCACTAAATTGCTGAACTGTCCAAGCTTGGCTCAAACTTGCACTGTTTCTGCCTCAGGCTTCCAGAGTGCTGGGATTACAGGCATGCAGCACCATGCCCAGCTTCCATTCCTATATCCTTTTAAAACATAAAATCCTTTGGACGTAGGTAGTGGCATTATTATACCATTTTACCTTCAAGTAAACCAAGACAGTGTGGTGAACAAATCTGCCTAAAATTGTATTTCTACTTGATCACTGCAGCCGTATTTGAGGACAAACAGTCTTATTTCAGAACTTTGCACATCACCCTACATAAACCTCATAGTAATTCTGGAGGGTTGATATTTTTAGCATTTTTTAAAAAATGAGGCTCAGAGAAATTAACTTGCAAGAGTAACATAGCTTGTATGTAGTGGGGCTAAGATTGCAACCTCATTTCCACATAGTTTCATATCTGATTATAAACAGAAGTTTATACTTCTGTTTATAATCTTTTACAATGTCTAGCCCAGGACTGTTTGTTTAAAGAACATTAGTTCTACTAATAATGTTAACAACAGAGGGTTTAGCTCACATACAACTTTCTTTTTTAAAATTTTTTTTTATTTTTTGCAGTACCAGGGATCAAATTCAGGGCCTTGCCAGGCAGGCGCGGTGCCACTGAGCTACATCCCTGACCCACTCACATACAACTTTCACAAGACGTTACTTGAGGATGTACCACAGTATAAAGGAAACAAACTAAGGAAGATGTGGGCCCCAGTAGGGTAAATCCCACCCACAAGAACAGCAGAAGGAAGGCTTAAGAATAAAAGCTTTGCTGTGGTCTAAAGATTAGAGCGAGGCAGTGAGCTTGGGAAGAGTGGTTTTCATGAGGAAAATTTTAAAATCTAAAATATTGCAGGGCTGGGGATTTAGCTCAGTGGTTTCGCTGCCTGCTGCACAAGTGCAAGGACCTGAGTTCGATCCCCAGTACAAAAAAAAAAAAAAATTGGAGATTAATTTTTCTTCTGTTATTTAGGTCTCTTTTATTTCTCTCAGCAGTGTTTTGTTTTTAGTTTTTAGTGCACAGGTCTTATGCTTCTTGAAAGAAAGCAAGCCGAAACAGGAGCACCCGAGGCAGGGCTTTATTGAGGAAGGGACACCTCAAACAATGGCGAGAGGGCGAGACTAACTGGGGTGAGGTTTATATAAGGTGGTGCAGTAGAGAATTTTGAGAAACTGAGACCATGATGGAGACCTGGTAGAAAGTAGAAAACACATTAACATATTATAATTTTGTAGTACTGAGGGTTGAACCTAGGACCTCACACAGACCAGGCAAGTGCTCTTACCACTGAACTACATTCCTGACCCCACCCTCTTTTGGGCAGTGCTAGGGATTGAACCTATGGCCTTGCACATGCTAGGCAGGTGCTCTACCTCTGATCTGCATCTCTAGTCCCTGTAACTGTTCTGAGACAGGGTCTCACCACACTGCCCAGGCTGGCCTTGGATGGATTATAGGCGTGCATCACTGTACTCAGGAAAGATGTTTTTGTTTTTAGTACTGGGGATCTAACTTGGGACCTTGCTCTTGCACGGCAGGTGCTGGAACCACTGAGCTAAATCCCAGGCCCCCTTCCTGGTAATTAGCAAAACATGTTATTTGAACTTGCCTCCTGAATTGCTCTTCAAGAAACCTGTCATGACATCACTGTTAGCAAAGTATTATCCTAGCAGTCTGGTTCTATAGTGAACATTTACCAAAACTTAGGCTCAAAATGTTAAACAGTATCTTCAAGGACTGCTTTCTTTCAGTGGCAGAGGCAGAAATTAAACTCAGACTTGACTTCAAAGGTCACTCTTATAAATCTATACAAGATTGAACAAAAATCTACTCATCTACTAATCTCAAATCAAGTTCCAGCCCAAATGTGATCTTGACACCTTCTCAACTCCTCCAAGAAGAACCTTGTTCTCCTAAGACTTTTTTTTTTTTTCTGGTCTTTTGAGACAAGGGTCTCACTATGTAGCCAGGGCTGGCCTGGAACTCAAGAGTGATCCTCCTGCTTCAGCGTCCTGTGTGCTGGGATTACAGGTGTGCCCAACCACACCCAGCAAGATTTTTTTTTGGTACAGGGATCGATCGGGTCCTTGCGCTTGTGAGGCAGGCGGTGGAACTACTGAGCTAAATCCCCAGCCCCCCAGCAAGACTTTATCTTATTATGATGTGTAATTTCCCTGGGGAATATTGGAAGTAAGGTACAGTTATCTTAAAGCATCTTCTTGACTCTACAATGCTGACTACAGCTCCTGGCAAGAGAAGTTTAATGACTGTCTAAATGAAATACAATGGAGTTAATTTTTAAATTTTATTGGTACATTTTAGATATACATGATAACATTCATCATAAGGAATTTGTACCTGTACATGATGTATCTTGCTTCTTCCCCGCCCATTACCCTCCCCTCTCTTCAATCCCTCTTCCCCTCCATGTTTACAAAAGCTTTGTTTCCATTCCCTTCTTTCCTTTTAATGTAATGGAGTTTAAAAGAGCCAGTGGGCTCAAATTACAAGGGGAGACAACTCAGCCAGTTTCCACGTTTTCATCCAATACACACACAATTAGTTTGAAAAAAAATGAAAGCTAACAAAGGCCAAATCAGGCTGATAACCTGGGCATGGTGGCGCACGCCTGTGATCTCTGCACTCGGGAGGCTGAGATAGGAGGACTGCTTCGAGTTCGAAGCCAGGCTGGGGCTACATGAGTCCAAGGCCAGCCTGAGGTACACAGGAGACCCTGTCTCAAAAACAAAACAAAACAACAGCAACAAAAAGAAATCAGGCTGCTGAGACTTTTTTTTGAGAAAGGGTCTCAATGAAGTCCAAGCAGCCTGGCCTCGAACTCCTCTTCCTGCCTCAGCCTCCTGGGTGCTGGGATTAAAGGCGAGCACCACCACGCCTGGCTCCTCCCACCATCCTCCTAGGCCCAGGTGGCATAAAGTAATCTATATTCTTCCCTGACAGACGACATTTGCGTTTGTGACTCCTTCTCTAGTCACGCCTCTCGCTACTTTTACACATCACGTATTTCCAGGCATCCGTGTCTTCCCACCTTGTCTAAAAGTCCTTCGCTGTGTCCAAAAGCACTGGCGAATCACGGCTTCAATTCTTTCCACCTCCCGTCGACCGCGTCACCGCAACATTCTGAACATAGCTCTACGAAAGTCCTGAACACACCGTACGTACAAGTTGCCCTCTTTCGGTGTGACCAGAGACGCTCGACTAATTCAACCTCGCATTCTGGTGCCTAAACCCCGGGGGTCCCGTACGCATTTCCGGAAGTCAGTCTACTACACCGCGACACTAGGCCAAAGTATCTAATACCTCAGGAACAGCGGTAGTCCTGCGGTTGAGCCCAAAAGAGTACAAGAAACGGGATTCTGGTTCAGAAAAAGCCAGGCGCCGGCCACGCACCAGTAAACGCTGTTGGAGGCAAAGACGGCCGCCACAGGCGTCCAACTCTCGCGAGACTCAGCCAGCGCGCCAGCCTTTCGGCCCGCGAGACTTAAGAGTTGGTCTCCCCAGATCCCGCGGGGTCGCGGGGCTCTCCCGGCCGTGCCCTTCCGGTGCTGTGTCCCGGAAGCGGAAGTGTCATCTCCTGTCTGTCAAAGTCGGTGTGTTACTCGGTGGTCGCAGGATCCTGGAGGAAGTCGTTCACACTTATCTTTTCCTGCCTCTTGAGCAGTTCCCCCCTGGCGGGTGGGAGTGCAGGGACGGAGGTGCGAGATGAGCACGATGTTTGCAGACACTCTCCTCATCGTTTTTATCTCCGTGTGTACGGCTCTCCTGGCGGAGGGTGAGGATGGCTGTTTCTCGGAACTTTGATCAGCCTCAGGAAGGAATTCGGGGTCCCTTGAGCCACGGGGGCAAGTCCAGAGCCTTAGTTGCTCAGGGGAGCTCGTCTGCCCCAGGAAATCCTTGGGCAACACCTTGTAAACTGGAGCGGGAGGGTAGTGAGAAGTCGATTGCCCAGTTTTCTTTAGTCTAAGGTAGATTTCACTGGCATATTTGTGAACACTCACATCATGTTGCAGTTGTTTTGGTTGAAGAGTCGGTTGTATTTATGTTTGAAAAAAGTTAACGTGTGTTCCATCTCTCCTACTCCAGCAGCAACCAGTAGTAACAGTTTGCTGTGGCTAGTTCATTCATTTCTCTATTAGCATGTGGTTTTAATATTTTAGGCATTACCTGGGTCCTGGTTTACAGAACAGACAAGTACAAGAGGCTGAAGGCAGAAGTGGAAAAGCAGAGTAAAAAATGTGAGTATAGTAACACTTAGAAATACTTAAAAAGACAACAGGTCAGTTCATTAAGTCCGAAAGTATGTGGTATGGTGTGTGTGTGTGTGTGTGTGTGTGTGTGTGTGTGTGTGTGTGTGTGTGTGTGTGTGTGTATGTGTGTGTGTACCGAGAATTGAACCCAGGGAGTGCAGACCTACATCCCGACCTTTTTTATTTTGATAAGTTGCTGGACTGGCCTTGAACTTGCATCCTCCTGCCTGAGTCTCCCAAGTAGCTAGATTAAGTATACAAACATATGCCATCATGCCCAGCTGAAGGGAAATAATTTAGGGGAACAAACTGACACAAAACCATATATAACAAAACTAAAGGGGTAAATAGGACATGGCAGGTACATATTATGTGCTGTGGTAGTTCTAAAGAAGAGGTCTCTTTGTCTGGTGAGGGACCATGGAGGCCTTCATGATTCAGATGGCCTTGTAGTCCTTTGTGGACACTTAGAATTTTGGTAGAGAATTAGGTGGAAGGGGGATAGGAAGTTCTAGGTAAAGGAAATAGCATAAGAGCAAAAACATGGTAAGGTGTGTGTGAAGAATAACAAGTTATCATGAATAGAGTCAAGGTAAGTAGTATCTTCAGGGGTAAGTCAGGTTTTAAGTAAGGATATTGGAACAATGAAGAAGTGCTTGAGGAAGAGATTAAGAACAAGTAAAGTTTATCGTCTTTGAAATAAAGTAGAAATTCAACAGGACACAGCTGAAGGTACAACATGAATGGTTCCTTATATGCACAGTTTGGTTTCCAGTATTTTTCCTTCAATGGATTAAATGCAACTTTTGCTTCTGTTTCTTTTCTTTCTTCTTTGGGGACAAGGTCTCACTATGTGATTCAGTCTGGCCTTGAACTCACAGCCATCTTCCTGCCTCAACCTCCCAAGTGCTGGGATTACAGGCATGGATGCCACCATTCCCAGGAAACTTTCTCTGTTCTATGTTTTTTCCTTGTGTTCTCATAGTGTTTGGGGAAAAATATTTTTTTTTTGTTAAATTATCTCATTTGATGGTTTGAGTAGAAGAGTGCTTGCCTACCATGCCCAAGGCGAGGTCTGATCCTTGTCCTGAAAACAAAAACAAAGACAAAACTCATTTGATCCACATAGTAACCATTTGTGGCTACTTGTATAAATGTTACCTCCACATTATAGGAATGGAGATTGAGACTCAGAAAGTTAATGATACACTTCATCATAGAGCAAACAAAGAATTAGAGACCAAACCCAGGCTTTTAAAATTACAGTTTACCATTCTTTATTCAATGTTGGTAATACACCTCACCATATTTAAAACCAAACTCATTGTCTTTGTCTTCACAAACACGATCCTCATCCAGAATTTCCTTATTGGTGACCTGTACCTCTGTGCTTCTAGTAGTGCCAAGTCAGAAACTTGATATTTTTTTAAAAATTTGGCTTCCAGACATCATATTGTCTTGATTTCACTCTCATCTTATTGGCCATTCTTTTGCAATTTCTTTGTGGATTTCTCTTCTTGACCTGTTGTTGATTATTAGGGGTGATACAAAATTTAGCTTAGCTTTTTTTCCTCCTCTGTGGTGCTTAGGATTGAACCTCGTGCCTCATGCATGTCAGCACCGTACCACTGAGATACCTCCTAGGCCCAAGTGTTTTTCTTTATATTCACTCTCTTGATGAACTCATTTGCCAGTGACCCCATATTTATGTCTCTTGCCTTTTATCCTTAATATAAAATTCATTATTCCAATAGCAATCTGTCACCCTAGCATGATCTAATGAACATCTCAAACCCAACATTTCCAAAATGAAATTCTTGTGTTTCACTTCCAAACCTGCCTCATGTGTACCCTTCTTGACCTTGGTCAATGGCACTTCTATCCTTTGAGTTGCTCAGCCCATAATACTTGTGTAGTTATCTTTGACTCCTCTCACACCCATATCCAGTCATTGGCAAATACTACAGGGCTCTGTTAATATCCAGAATATGACCCCTTTTTACTAACTCTTCTGTTTACCAACGTGATTCAAGCACCTTCATTTAAAAAAAAATTTTGTTTTTGTTTTGTGGTACTGGGGATTGAACCCAGGGCCTTCGCACTGAGCTACATCTCAGATGAGCTACATCTTAAATTTTTGAAATGGGGTGCTAGGTCACTAGAGACTTGACCTTGGAATCCTCCTGCTTCAGCCTCCCATTGTGCTGGGATTACAGGTAGGTGTCACCATACTTGGATAGCACCATGGTCTTCCATGTGGATTATAAGCTCCAGCAGGCATTCCTGTCTCACTGTAGTCTTTCTTCTTTTTTTTTTTTTGGTACCAGGGATTGAACTTGGGTTCTTGCACTTGTGCAGCAGGCAGCAAAACCACTGAGCTAAATCCCCGGCCCTTTTTTTTTTTTCCTGTAGTGTTTTTTCAAGATAACAGCTAGAGTGGTCCTTTCCAAAGCCTACCATACCATATCCCTCATTTGCTCATGCCCCTGTGGTGTTATCTCATATTTGCTCAGAGGAAAAGCCAAAGCCCTTACAGTGGTCTACAGTGCTTATTCTCTTAGCACTCAGATATTCTTTCCCTCTCTCTGTCCCCTCACATGGCCTACATTCTGTTCCTCATGGACATGAGTTGCACGCCTGTGCTGAGACTTTTCTAGGGGTTGATCCTCCTCCTTATCTGCTTGCAATGTTCTTTTCTATGATGTCTTCTTGCTAACCCTATTAACTGCAAAATCTCTTCTTTCTTTTCTTTTTTTTTTTTTTTTGGTACCAGAGATCGAACTCAGGACCTTGCGCTTGCGAGGCAGGCAGCGGAACCACTAAGCTAAATCCCCGGCAAAATCTCTTATTTCTTGTTATGGAGTGAAGTTCTGGAGAATAAATGTCAGTGCACAAGGAGTTCTTTACAATTTCCTGAAACTTGAGAAACATTAATCCCCTCACCCAAGAATTTTTTAGTGACAATCCAGGCCACTGGAAAACCAGTCATGTTTAATGTATCATCTTATTTTGCTATTCTCTAGTCTTCTTTTTTGCTTTCCCTTGTTTTTTATGCAGTTAGTATTAAATGTAAGTAAGTAGTTGTATTATAGTCCTTCTGGAGTGGAAAAGATACATTTTTGTTTCTTTGTTTAATGATGAATAAACATTCAATATATTTTGTTCATTTTGTCTCTTAAGATGTTATTTTTATCATTCTGTGATGTGGAGTTTGAGTTAATTTCACTTTATAACTTCATATTAGTAGCGCCATTCTAAATCAAGCATTCTGTCTTTCTCTATTAAATATATAAATGTTTTTATAGTGCTTGTAGAATTTTTTGCCTTTTTTTAGAAAGGGTCTCTCTCTAGTTCAGGCTGGCCAAAAAAGTAAGTTAAAAATCACTGGCCGGGGATTTAGCTCAATGACACTGTGCCTGCATTGCAAGGGCAAGGTCCTGAGTTTGATCCCTGGTACCTCAAAAAAAAAAAAAGGGAAGTTAGTTCAGGCTGACCTTGGACTTACTGTGTAGCCCAGGCTGGCCTTGAACTCATGGCAATCCTTCTGCCTCAGCCTCTTGGGGTACTGGGAGTACAGATGTATGTTACCACACCCAGTAATTTTTTTTTCTTTTTATGTCCCTGGAAGAGTACTTGTTTCTTAGGCATCCAATATACACACCTTTTGGTCAGGACTTTATATTTCATTTGTAAGAGTGGAATCAAATTGAATTATATATCTCTTTGATAAAGCAGTAATACCAGTTTTGCTTTTAGACTTTAAGCAACAAATTTAATGTATTAAGAGAAAGAGTCCTACTTGCTAATTCTCTATAATGCAACTTTTTTTTTGGTACTAGGAATCAAACTCAGGACCTTGTGCTTGGAAGGCAGGCGCGGTGCCACTGAACTAAATCCCCAGCCCTTTCAATGCAACTTTTAGAAATAATACGTGCATAGTACTGCTTGCTATTAATATATATATATATATATTAGACAGGGTCTCCCTTTGTAGTTCAGGCTGCCTCTAAACTCACTATGTAGCCCAGGCTGGCCTCACATTCACAGTGGTCCTCCTGCCTCAGCCTCCCGAGTGCTTGAATTACAGGTGTGTGCCACCACGCCCAGCTGCTTGCTATTAGTATATTAAGGTGATATGGGGAACAGATGATATAAATAAGTACAGGTAATTTTTGACATTTATAATATATATTTATATTTTTTACATAAATATAAATACATTACACTATTCCTTTTCAGAAGCTTACTGTTACTCTGTTATGTTAATTAAAATGTATCCAAAACACTGATCTTAGTTTGGCTCTCCTGATTTTCCTACCCTGTGTGTATGTCCATCTGGATACTTTATTCTTATTGTCATTTGACTGTCTGCTCTTGCTAGATTGTTCTTTAGAAGGCAAGAATTCTATTTTTCTTTCTGGAATAGTGCCTGTTGTTACTTAGGCAGCCAATAAGTGAATAAATGATTTCCTACCTTCCTACCTGTAATAAAGGTGAGAATAGAACTGAAATGAATCTACAATTTACCATAATTATCTGAGGAAACAGAATTTGAATACTGTCTGGTGTCTCAGGTAATCCTCTTCAGCTTATGATCTGTAAAATCATCTCAGTTTTGGTTAAGTATTGACTTGACACAATACCTTCTAAGTATTTATCTAATAATATTTACAATTACAATTATTATTATTGTTGTTGGGTTTTTTGCAGTGCTAGGAACCGAACCCAGGGTCTTGGCATACTAGACAAGCATCCTACCACTGAGCTATAATCCCAGCCAAGCGCTGTCATTTTATTCTTACAATGTGTGTCTACTCTACCTTTTACTGTTAGTAGCTTTTAAAATTATTATTATTATTACTTTTTTTTTTTTTGTACTGGAAATCGAACTTGGGACCTGTGCTTGTGAGGCAGGCGCCAGAACCACTGAGCTAAATCCCCAGCCCTACTGTTGGTAGCTTTAGGATCAGACCATTTAACTTAATCATGGCCATAAAGAAGTCAGTGTAACCTTACATACTTTCTTTCTTTTTCTTTTTTTGTGGTTCTGGATTGAACCCAAGGCTTCATGCATGCTAAGCAAGTGCTGTCCTGCTGAGTTACATTGCCAGCCCCAGTCTAACTTCCTTGTAAGCTTTCATCAATCCAGCTGTGATAAAGCATCCTTTGCTTCAGTGTAATGCTGTGTTACTGTGTTTTTACAGTGGAAAAGAAGAAGGAAACAATAACAGAGTCAGCTGGTCGGCAACAAAAAAAGAAAATAGGTGAGATGTTAACCTAAAGAAGTTGTTGATGATAACTCATCCTTGTATAGTTTTACGGTTTATAAGGCACTTGTATACTTACCTCACTTAATTCTCAATCTTTTTTTTTTTTTTTTTGGTTTTTTTTGGTATTGGGGATTGAACTTGGGTCCTTACACTTTCAAGGCAGGCGATGGAACCACTGAGCTAAATCCCCAGCCCAGTTCTCAATCTTTTTTGAATTTGGACAAATTCAAGCACTTGCTATGTTTTCACTCTTCACCTTGAAATTTGAGTTTTAGTAAATGAGAGTTGTGGCTTTGAACTTGGCTCATGGTTCATGGCACAGTTTGTAAAATCATATTGTGTTTTATATCTGAGATGATTATTTCCCATTGTCTGAATTACTTGTGTTCATTGTGGCCTTGGCTTCCTTGCTGGAGACTTAAGTAATGATGGAAATCCACCAAGGAGGGAAATTTTCTGCTGAGTAATTTTACCTACTATGAGATATGTTTTTGGTTTCTCAAAATTTTTAAGTGATTATATATAATTTAGGTTTGTGCTTTATGTTCCTTAATTCCAAAGTCAGGAAAAAGATTGTTGTGAAATTTTGTATTTGGGTCAGAAACTATGCCTCCATACCTAGATCACTGCTGTACAGCCCAGACGAGAATTCCACTGGCCTGGACTGTGACAATATCCTGTTCTGAGCAAAGCTTTCAATTCAGTCTTAACTTTTTACTTTTTTTTCAGTCTTAACTTTTTAAAAACTTTAAAAATTTATTGAAAATTTTTGGTACTGGGTACCCAGGCCTTCCCAGTGAGCTACATCCCAATCCCTACCTCCTTTCTTTTTTTGAGACAAGGCCTCTCCAAGTTGCTAATTTGCCCAGTCTGGGCTCAAACTTGTGATCCTCTTGACTCAGCCTCCTAGATTTCTGGGATTACAAGCATGCACCACCTTGCCTGGTAGTGATGACATTTTTAAATGGCCTAATGCTATGGGCATGGTGGTGCATGCATGCAATCCCAGCACTTGGGAGGCTGAGGTAAGAGAATTGCCATGAATTTGAGGCCAGGCTGCACTATATAGTGAGACCCTGTCTCAAAACACAGCACAAAAATTAAGATAAAATAAATAAAATGGCCTATTCATTTAGTATCATGGCTGCGAGAGACTGCAATATTGATTATGCCCCAAACAGGCTGTAGAGTTAACCCCTCACTTATAGAAGTGAGTCCGGCCAAAGCCTATGGGCCGAGGTCATGGTAACTTGCACCCAAATTCCATTCTCACAACTAAAACCTTCTTAATTAGAAGGACGGTATTCTAATCCCAACCATATATTTTGTCTATTCTGTTCCTAATACGAGAATGCTTTGTCTTGCTTGCCCTTCATGAGCCTTGCTTACATTAATTTCCATAGAAACTGCACAACTGTGTATTTTCTCACATAGTCCTGCCCTTGCACGTAGCTTGCCCTTACCCCAGTTGATTCCTAATAAAAATGAGTGGCTTGGGCTGGCCAATGCCTTTGTCAGTTACAACGGCATTGGTCGTCCTGGCATCCCACTTTCTCTCCTAGCTCTGTCTTTTAGGTTTTTTCCCTCAGGCCTGCGTCATATGCTGGGCAGGAGACTGGAACCTAACTGCAGGGGTCTTCAGTACATGGCAAAATGCTATTGTATATCTTCTCTGTGTTAGTTACTGTTAGATATAGAGGAACAAAGTAGAAAAAGATTGTTTTTGTATACTCTGTCTAGAGAAGGGAAACAGACCAGAAAATGAATGATAACGATGCAAAATGATGTATATATATGTTGGTGTGTGTATGATATATGAGGTGTGATTAAAGAATATGGTGAATGTTGAGTAAAAAAAATTATTACAGTAAAAGATCCATTGTCATTAATCCCCCTTAAAATATTCCCTCACTTCAAACACACACATCCCATTGTTTTTGATACTTTCTGCAAGTACCTTTTCATGAGTTGTTTTATTGTGGCTGCCTCAGTGTCCTGAATCAATTCAAAATGTTTACCTTTCATAGTCATTTTGACTATGGGGAAGAATCAGAAATTGCACAGGGCTAGAACCAGTGAATAAGGTGGATGAGAACATACCATAATGTTTTTCAGGAGCCTGCCTCCATGGCACGTGACAGCAGCATTCACCATATTTTTCGATATTTTGGTTTGGCTTTTTGAGACAGAGTCTCACTGTGTAGTCCAGGCTGGCTTTGAATTCATTATGTAGCCCAAACTGGCCTCAAACCTGAGGCCATCCTCCTGCCTCAGCCTCCTGAGTGCTGGGATTACAAGTATGCACCACAACACCCAGTTCCATTCACCGTATTTTTTTTTTTTTTTTGGTACTGGGGATTGAACTTGGATCCTTGCGCTTGCAAAGCGGGCGATGGAACCACTGAGCTAAATCCCCGGCCCAATTCACCGTATTTTTAATCACACCTTCTAAACACATTCACGAGAGAGGACTTTCAGGACTGCTTCAGAAAGTGGCAAGGATGATGGGATAAGGTTGTTCAAAGTTGAGGGAGGTATTTTGAAAGGGATTGATGGCAATGTTTCTTTTATTGTAATGAATTTTCTTTTTCTTTTTCTTTTCTTTTCTTTTCTTTTCTTTTTGGTTTTCTGGTTTGTTTTTGGTACCAGGGATCCAACTCAGGTCCTTGTGCTTGTGCAGCAAGCAGCAGAACCACTGAGCTAAATTCCCAGCCCCTTGAATTTTCTTTTTAAAAGTTTAAACATTCACTGTACATTTCAATGACCTTGTGTGTGTGTGTTTATTTTGTTTATTTGTGTTCTCATTTTTTAAAAAATTCTTTTGGTAGTGTAAGGGATCAAACCTAGGGACGCATGCATGCTAGGCAAGTATTCTGTCATTGAACTACATCCCCAGCCTGAGATATATCTTTTAAATGTAATAAAATTAGAAAGAAAGGATATCCAAATCAACTGAGAGGATCAGGTTATCTTTAAAAATATACTTTAGGTGAATCTTGAGGCATTAGTGTGACTTGGGTAAATACATATGAGCAAATAAACTACTGATCACCGTTTATTGAGCACTTACATCTGCAACATATTGTGGTAAGCACTTTATAGTCTGAATTCTCATAGCAGCCATATGTGGCAGGGAGCAGTGTTACGTCATTTTTATACATGAGAGAATTGAGTCTTAAGTTAACTAACTTGAAGTAGGTTGTTCAGTAGTTTGATGAGATTAAGTCACTGTTAGAAAGGTTGAAACTTGGTGATTTGTAACTTTGGAATTCATTTTTTTGTTGTTGTTTTTCATTTGTTTTTTCTTTGAGACAGAGTTTTGCTAAGTATTATAGGGTGGCCTTGAACTCACTGTATGGCCCAGGCTGGCCTCGAACTCCTGCCTCAGTCTCCTCAGTGATGGGTTTACAGGCGTGTGCTACTGCCCAGCTTCAGGACCCATGTTTTAAAGCCCTGTATGTTTTAGGCAGAAAGATAGACATATGGAAAAGCATGGCTGGGTAAAATAATAAAATACATGGTTAGAACTCTAAATTGTTTAGTATAACACATAAAAGATATTTGTAAAGTACACACCTATGAGACTAGAGTTTAATAGGGCCCAGTTCCATAAAGATTTTTACAAATTAAACCGGAAAAAGCAATTTAATGTGTATCCAGAAAGCTTCAGACAATAATGAAGGGGCTTTGGGACATTGAGTTTTAGCATCATATTTTGTTTAACTCTGGCAATAGTTTGGAGGATAAATTGGAGAAAGGGCCATTTTGGAGATAGAGAGATCATAAGGTTTTTTAAGTGTCCCAGGCAAAAATGATAAGAACCTGAGACCAGGCAGTGGGAATGGAGAAGATGGTATGAGTTCAATGAATATAGAGGAAGTAGAAGTAACAACTCCAGGAATGTTTGGAGGATGAATTTGGAGAGTAGGACAAGTCTGGAAAAATGTCCAGATTTGTGATCTGAATAGGACATATTGGTTGATCTATGTTTGTTTGTTTGTTTGTTTTTGGTACCGGGGATCGAACTCGGGTCCTTGTGCTTGCAAGGCAGGCGATGGAACCACTGAGTTAAATCCCCAGCCCTTGAATAGGACATATTGGAAGAGTTGTGGATTGGGATTTGGAAGAACAGAGGTGATTTCAGGTGTAAACATATGAGATTTGAGTGCCTAAGTGACTACAGAGTGGAAATGTTTGTCCACAGTTGTCTGTACAGTTTGAGAACTCAGAGAGAAGGGCTATAAGTGGATGTTTTAGAATCATGTTTTATGTCGTAATTGAGTCCACATAGTAAATGAAATTACACATACCACATAGGGCAAAGAGAGCAGAGGCCTGAGGGCGGGAGGGTGTGGAGGAAACAGAAATTTAAGGGGCAGTAGAAGAAGTTGAGCTCAGAAAAGGTATTGCTCAACCAGTTGGAAGGAAGTTGTGCTACAAAAGTTGAGGGGAGACCTTCAGGAGGCAGGGAGGGTCTGAACACAGATGCTGAATGTCTAAGAAACAGGTTATTAGTGATTTTGGCAAGAGCAGTTTTAGTGGCTTGAGAGGGGACAGAAGCTGGATTGTACAGATTGAGCTAATAGTGTGCAGTGGGAAGACATTGAACGCAGGTGACCTTTGCTGTAAAAGATAGGACAGATAAAAACGTAAGGCAGATTACCTTCTGCGCTTATACTGACAGCATAAAGTATCTGAACTCAGATTATCTTATTTTTTTGGTATGGGGGATGGAACTCAGGACCTCATGCCCGCCAGGCAGACGCTGAGCCGCTGAGCCGCTGAGCTACATCCCCGGCTGAACTCAAGATTATCTTAACATGGAATGCAACCTTGAATTGTCTGCTCACCAAAAAAAATAATCTGAAGTTACAAGTAATAATATTTTTAAATAGTTCCTATCAAAACCTTATCAAAAGTTATGACAAAGTACTTATGAGAAGTTGCTTGAAAGACAGATTAAGCCTCTTAGATTAAGCCACACTGTTAGAAGTCTGAAAACCTAAACTGCATTTTGGAATTCATAAAATTACTTCTGCTCTATTTGGTCTTGGTGTTGGCACTGCTAGCCATTTTAAGAAAAACACAGCCAAGTACAATTTGTTGTATTACCACAGTGAAATATTTTCGAGAACACTATCTGCAACATCACACAATTGTCTTTTGATGAGAAATTGTGGAAACTAATTGTATTACTTTTTAGTGTCAGGGAAAGCAGCAACTCATAAAAAATTGATTTATTTTTATCTATGGGCACAGTGTCTGAACTTTTTTTTTCCTTTGATTTGGCTGCTAAGAGTTACATTTGTCATTCATTTCCAGCAACTTCATAGTACCCACATATTTCTGTGTATTAATCCTATCTATACTCTTTTTTTTTTGGTACTGGGGATCAAACTCGGGACCTTGTGCTTGCGAGGCAGGTGGTGGCACCACTGAGCTAAATAAATACTCGGCCCCTATCTATACTTTTGTTATCATCCAGCCCTTAGTTTCTTTGCTCAGATTCCTCACATGAGCTGATATACAGACATAGTGCATATATACAGCACTGTAGCATTTGTGGGGAGGAAGGCTATAAAAATGATGCATTGAAAGGCGGGTTTGCTTAGTAAGATAGAAGGGCACAACAGTAATCAGTGTTTCAGAGAATCAAGTATCACTGATTTCCCTAAGTGGAGCTCTTTGATAATAATCCTTAACAGAGAGCCATTAATTGAAACTGAGGTGTCTTTTACATTTTAACTAACGATCTTACGGTCCTCCTTCTTTTTCCCTCATTTTTAATTTCAGGGGCAAATGTTTTGACCATTTTCCATTTTCTTCTCATAGATGAGGAGTTAATTTACTTTTTTTTTTTTTTTTTTCTTGGTACCAGGGGTCGAACTTGGGACCTTGCCCTTGTGAGGCAGGGGACAGAACCACTGAGCTAAATCCCCGCTTCAGCAATTTACTTTTGATTTATGAATTTTATTTAGCTTTTGAATGCATTTAAGTTACCTCAAGTTATGAGGGTTTTCTTTTAAGGGTGTATGTGGTCAGAAACTCAAGAACAGCTGAACTAACTGGTTATGGGAGGGTAAGAACTCTGTAGTCCCGAGGGGAAGCCAGATGGTGGCATCTTCACCTCAAGGCTTTGCTATTAATAGATGCTTCTTTCTCCTCTGTTGCTGAACTTCCTCACTTTTTCTATAGTGGTTATCTAGCATTTAACTTCTGTTTTCACATAACTTTAGTTTGTGTCCAGGAGTTTGTTCTCAGTCTTTCTCAGAGTGTGATCTACAGAAAACCTGTATCAGTTTTGCCTGGGGTGCTACTGGTTAAGCTTCCAAATCTTATGCCAGACTTTACCAAATCAGAGTCTCTGAATGTGAGACCCAGGAGGGGCCTGGTTTTTTAATAAGCTGCTCACATAATTTTTAGGCAAGTGAAAGCTTGAGAGCCAGTACTTACTTCTGCTCTCACAGTATTTTTTCTCTCAAGATTTTCTCCTTTAAATTCCAGAGAAAAGGAATTCACTTGGCTGAACCGATCATTTCATATCCTTGTTAGGTCCTGCCTCTTGGGTCTGTGGTGGCGAGTTTGGGTGTGTATTAGTTAGGGCTCTCCGGAAAGACAGAACCAATAAGGTATATACGGGTATTTGAGAGGGGATTTAGTAGAAGAATTGGGTGGCATGGTCCCAGATCCTGATAGGTCCCGGATCCTGATAGGTCCCAGAAGAGGGCATCTGCAAGCTGGAGAACCAAGGAAGCTGGTGGTATGACTCAGTCCAAGATTGACGAAAGCCTGAAAGGCCTGAGAGAGAACGCAGAGGCCACTGACACAAGTTCTGGAGTCCAAGGGCCAGGGACTGAGATTCTGATGTCCAGGGGCAGGAGAAGAGGGATGTCCCAGGTGGGGACAGAGAGGAAGAGGGAGGGCGAACGGGGAGAGGCAGAGAGTGAGAGAATTTTCTTTCCTCTGCCTTTTACTCTGTCCAGGTCCTCAGAGAATGTGGGAATTGTCCACCTGGATTGGGTGAAGGTGGATCTTCCTTAGTTCAGATTCATTTGCCAGTCTCCATGCTCAAATATAGTACTTCAGCAACTCTCTGGGTATCCGTTAACCTAGTTACTTTAATACCTACAAGTAATGATCTCAGGTTATGAATATTCATGAGGCTACCCTTGGTAGGGACCCAGGTGAGAGGTAGCTGTCTGCAGAAGGTGGCTGCAGCAGGAAGGATAGGCATCCTGAAGCTTGACTGATGGTCATGGTCATAGTCATCTTTGTCTTAGTGACATGGAAGTAGGGGAAGGTTTATTTTTTCCTCTTTTCTTTTCTTTTTTGCCATACTGAGGATTGAACCCCCCCCAAAATTTTTCTTTGTTTAGATACAGGATCTCAGTGGTCCAGGCTGGGCTTGATCTTGGAATCCTCCTGCCATGGTTTCCTTCATAGTTGAGATTACAAGCACGTACCACCCACCACACACAGTGATATTTAACATGTTTTGAGGCTTGACTATTTATTCATTCTAGACCTTTGTCTATGTTGGTATTTTTTTTGGTACCAGGGATTGAACTCGGGTCCTTGCGCTTGCGCAGCAGGTGGCGAAACCACTGAGCTAAATCCCCAGCCCCGCAGACTTTTGTCTATGTATGCTATCTGGATTGGTTTAAGGTCTGTTCATTTTGTAGTTAGAGTGGATGTCATCATTGCTACTAGTTTATTCCAGTAGATGCAAGAAATGTAGTCTTTTTTTCATTGAAATTTCACTTTTAGAATTTAAATCTTTCATTTTTGTCATTTTTGATAAGTCACTCTAGCAAATAAATATAGCTTCTGCATATTTTCAGATTCTTTAACCCATGAAATTTCCTCACATCTAAAAGAGGTTATACTCCAAAACTTTATTACTAAGAGGGTGTATAGAATTCCTTCCAAAAGGATTAATTTTCTGTTTGGGAAATTATTTTCCCCTAAATTAAATACTGAGGTTTTGGGTCACATAGGTAAAGAATAATTCACATGGGACAAGTGAACACAAAATAATATATACTATTTAGTTCCAACACTTTTAAATTATAGATTTTCGAAGAAGGCATAGGAAGTTTTGCACGCATGTTTTCCCTTCCTTGTTTCACCCTAACAGCTGAAGGAAGTAGGGAAGCATGAGCCTCTTGGAAATCTTGTGTTCCGGGTACTGAGCAGTCTTTCTGCCTTGGGGAGGGGCCCCTGTAGCTGTGGTTCTCTAAGCAACACACCACTAAGATGGAAATAATAAGTGACAGAGACAGAGATGCCTTACGTTGCTGGGACCAGGACACAATTTTGGAGAAAATTTGTTTGTTTGTTTTTTGCAGTACCGGGGATTGAACTCAGGACCTTGCGCTTGTCAGGCAGGTGCTGTGCCACTGAGCTAAATCCCCAGCCTAGAGAGAATTTATGCAAGTTAACCAGTATCAGTTAAGGGCTAAGTTCAGCCACAGCTATAGAGACTTAATCACTTCTACTTATTTCAATCTACTTTGAACTACTTTTTATATTAGAAGTTATACATTTCAAGGAGTAGAATCACTAGGTTCTATTGCACCATCTCAGCCAAAACTGCTCTTGTAATTAAATCACTCATATACTCAAATGTTCACTTCCTGCTAAGAATCAATTTAACATTATTTTGGAGTAAATTGTTTGTACTTATTTTCCTTATAAATGTAGCTTTCTGGAGTGGGGATCTAGCTCAGTGGTTCCGGCACCTGCCTTGAAAGCACAAGGTCCTGAGTTTGATCCCCGGTACCAAAAAAAAAAGCAATTTCTTTTGTTTTTGGGGTTTTTTTTGGTATCGGGGATTGAACTCAGGTCCTTGAGCTTGTGCAGCAGGTGGCGAAACCACTGAGCTAAATCCCCAGCCCGAGAAATGCAGTTTCTGTTAGTACAAAGTATATAATAATCCAGATATTTACTTTTTCTTATTAAATAACACTGAGAAAAAATGCTTTTATAATTACAAGTCAGTGAGAATTTATTGAAGATCTGCTTTGAGTTCAAGTACTGTATGCATTAACTATTTCATTCTTTTCAGAGAGGCAAGAAGAGAAACTGAAGAATAATAACAGAGATCTTTCAATGGTAAGAGTCCTAAATATAAGTTCATGGTAAAGCGCATAATGTTTTTAGCAAGTGGCTGATGTGCATCAAGTACATTGCACTTTTCAGAAATTTATTACCTTTGAGAGCTATAAATAATAATCATAGGTATTCATAGGCCAAATGGAAGTGAAAATTCACTACTGCTCTTAAATTTCATTTTAATAATGTAGGTAGCTTTTAGAGGGTATTGCAGAGGTTATGATTTATCCCTTTCACACATTTCTTAGGTAGTTTCCTTCTTTTTGTGTGTGTGTAGTTTCCTTCTTAATGTTTGTAAATGAAGTAGCTTATTTTCTTTTTCTTCTTTGTGTTAATCCTAAATCATTGGTTTATGGGGACTTGTTTAATCCCAGTACTGTTGATGGAACATTATAAATGGCTTTCATCATTTTTATTCTTTAAGAGTCCTTTTGTTCTTAGCACCAGACATAATGTAAAGTGTAAGGAAAAGTCATTTCACTACCCATTTGCTCATTTATAAGGAAAAGACTTTGTTTAAGTATGTCTGCTTAGGGCATAGAAAGGCTTGATTATATACAGCTTGGCTAACTTTCTACTTCTGTTTATGTAACACAGGACCTGGGAACTGTGCAACTGTTCTCTTTCACTTGCTGAGAGACTTTTGCTGTATTTCTTTATCTTCTTCTGGAAAGTCTTTTCAAGAGAGATTATAATTTAGAAGTGGATTTTTAAAAAATAAATTTTATTTTACTTTATCCATATCAGCCAGCCCCCTTCCCTCCCTATGTACAAAACCTTTGTTTCCATTTTTTCCTTCCATTTTCTTTTTTTTCTTGTCCCTTTGTTCCTTTCTCCCTCCCTCTTCCCTTGTTCCCTTTCCCATTTGAACACTTTCTTCCGATTTCTCAACATCCATTATACATTTCAGTCTTTATTTCCATTTTTGCTCTCTCATACCAGAGAAACAATGTGGTATTTGAACATGTGTCTGATTTATTTCACTTAAGAGTATGGTGTCAAGATCCATCCATTTAGCTATAAATATCTGAAGCTCATCCTTCTTTATGGCAGAGTAGTACTCCATTGTATAAAAAAACCACATCTTTATCCACTCATTAGTTGATGGGCATTTGGGCTGTTTCCAGGATTTAGCTATTACAAACTGTGCTGCTATAGACATGGGTGTGCATATATTGCTGTGGTATGATGCTTTTAATTCTTTTGGGAAGATATCAAGAAGAGGTACTGCTCTTCAAATGGAGCCTCTAGTTTGAGTTCTTTAAGAAATCTCCACATGATTTTCATAGAAGTTGCACCAGTCTACACTCCCACCAACAGTGGAGAAGTGTTCCTTTTTCTCCACAGCCCCTCCAGTATTTGTTATTGGTTGATTTCTTGATAGCAGCCGTTCTTTCTGGAGTGAGATGGAATCTCAGCATTGTTTTAATTTCCATTTCATGAATGACCAATGATGTTGAATACTTTTCACATATTCATTTGTTGTTTCTAATTCATCTGAGAAGTATCTTTTTATTTCAAATGCCCATTTTTGCATTAGGTCTTTAAATTTGGGGGGTTTGATTTTTTTGAGTTCTTTATATATGCTAGATAATAATCCTTTATCCAAATAGCTGGTAAAAATTTTTTTTCCCACTCTGTGGGTTGTCTTTTCACTCTGTTGGTGATTTCTCTTGCCATGCTTTTTAATAAGATGAGATCTCAGTTGTTGATTCCTTGTTATATTTCCCATGTAGTCTGGGTTGTGTTCATGAAGTCTTTGCCTACTCCTGTGTCCTCAAGCATTCTACCTATTTTTTCTTCCAGTGGATGTAGTGTTTCTGTTTTAATATTTAGTTCTTTGATCCATTTTGATTTTAGGTTAGTGTGTGGTGAAAGAAGTGAATATTTAATTATTACTTATTATATTTTGTTTGTTTGTTTGTTTGTTTGTTTTGAGACAGGGTCTCACTATATAGTTCAGGCTGGTCTTGAACTCATTATGTAGCCTAGGCTGGCCTTGAACCTGAGACGATCCTTCTGCCTTAGCTTCCCGAGGGCTGGGATTGCAGGCGTGTGCCACCATGCCCGGCATTAGAAATTAATATTTTAAAAAGTAGCTTTTCTTACCTGTTGACAACAATTATATGTTCACCATAGCACATTTGGAAACTAAGAGATACCAAGGACCTAGAGATAACCTGTTAATCTGACATCTTTATAATCTTTTATTTATGTGTTAAAGAATGTGTAATTAAGAAGGAATTTAGTTGCAAATAACTGAAGACCTAACAAGCAGTAGCCTGAAAAAGAAAATGGTTTCTTTTTGTTGCTCAGGACATCTAGAGGTTGGGAGAGCTAGGCTAGCGTAAGCAACTCAATTCTGCCCTCGGAGACTCAGGGCCTTAGCTTAAGGGCTTGCTGGCTGCTTAATCCTTGGGCAGTATGTTTTCTTTCAGGGCAAGAAGAATGGGCAACAGGTCTAAGGATGATGGGCAGATCTGTCCTTTTTATTTTTATTTATTTCAATTTTTATTTGTATCAGTACATGTTTGCAGGTATAATGATCACATTCATCATGGGGAGTTAGTACATGTACATAACACATCTTTTTTTTTTTTTTGGTACCGGGAATCAAACTCGGGACCTTGTGCTTGTGAGGCAGGTGGCGGCACCACTGAGCTAAATCCCTGGCCCTACATAACACATCTTAATTCTTTTTTTTTTTTTTTTTTTTTACGTCCTCCTCTTGCCCTTCCTTCCCTCCTCCCTCCATCAGAGCTGGGGATGTAGCTCAGTGGGAGAGCCCTTGCCTTGCAGACTTGAGGTTCCCATTTGTTACTTGTACTTACTACTCATTGGTTAGAACTGGTCTACCCTGCCACCTCAGTACATCGCGACGTGGCCAGAAGAGGAGTTGGAGGTAGAAGGTGGATTAGCTAACAAAACAGCTTTTTGCCATGGAGAGCTTTTTAACAAATAGCATGAAACCAAAACTTCAGGGCTATGCTCTAGTGGTGGTTTACTTTCATGTGAAATGACAGTTTGTTTCCTTATAGGTTCGGATGAAATCCATGTTTGCAATTGGCTTTTGTTTCACTGCCCTCATGGGGATGTTCAATTCCATGTGAGTATCCGTTATATGGTTTTGCATAATAACTATTTCTCTTTCTCTCTCTCTATCCGTGTGTGTGTGTGTGTGTGTGTGTATGTATATGTATATATATTCATTTTCATAAACTTTTTTTTTTTTTAAGGCAGGGTCTTGCTGTATAATTCAGGCTGGTTTTGAACTCATTATGTAGCTTAGGCTGCCCATGAACTTGTAGCAATCCTCCTGCCTCAGCCTCCCAAGTGCTGGGATTATAGGCGTGTGCCACCATGTCCAACATGTAATATTTTATTTTAATATAATTTCAGACCTATGGATAAGTTGTGAGAATAATGTATTTTTTTAGTGTTTTTCTCCACTTCTCTCTCTGTCTTTCTTTTTCTCTTTCTCTTTCTCTTTCTCTTTCTCTCTCTCTTTCTCTTTCTCTCTCTCTCTCCCTCCCTTCCCTCTCTCTCTAATTGGTGGTGCTAGAGATTGAACCCAAGGCCTTGTGCCCACTAGGTAAGTGCTGCACCACTGAGCTACATCCCCAGTCCTGTTTTCTCTCTCTGTTATATGTGTACTCATACAGATATTATTTATTCATTTTTATTAATCATTTGAGAATATTTATTTGCTTCTTTACCCATGAGTCCTTCAGTGTGTATTTCCTAAAAGGAAACACATTTTTTTTTAGAATTTTTTTTTTTTTTTGGTGCCGAGGATCAAACTTGGGATCTTGCGAGGCAGGCAATGGAACCACTGAGGTAAATCCTCAGCCCGAGGAAACACATTTTTTAATATAATCTTAAAACACTTATTGAAATCAAGGGAATTTAATTTTGATAGAATATAATTACGCAATAACTCTTTTACTCTCCTAATATTGAGGATATTTTATTTACAAGGTAAAGGCTTAAGCACTATGCAGTCTCTAAAAAAGAATTATGTTTCATCTTTCCAAATTGCTTACCGGAATATTGTTTCAAACTGAAGGTAGTCATATAAAGATGTTTTGACTCTTAAAATAGAGTCTTAACAACTATAATTTTGTTTAATGATGAGGTGGTCAATTACTGTTGTCTAAACTAGCATATAGCAGACCTGAGAAATTGTGGAACTGCTTTTTTTGTTGTTGTTTTGGTACCAGGGATCGAACTCAGGACCTTGCGCTTGCGAGGCAGGCGCAGTGCCACTGAGCTAAATCCTGAGCTGGAACTGCTTTTGATATAAGTTAGGAAAGCATTCAAAGATGACAGTCATATATTACCCTTTCAAAGCTCACCTGACTTCTACCACACATGTTAGAACTTCTCTTCCTCTCCCTTTTCCTTCTCTTCCTCTTCTTCTTCCCCACCCTTCCTTCTATTGGCCTATCTCTCCCTCTCCCTCCTTAAGTACCTCTTCCCCAAGTGTATCCTTTCTTTCCTACCTATTAAGTACATACTTTGTGCCAGCATTGTACCCAGGTATCAGACTATAATAAGCTGCAACCCCTGTGCTCAGTAGTATCAAATTTTATAGGAAGAAAAGGTAGATAAACAACTGAATGTCTCCATCGGTGTTATGATAAGAAATATGTATGAGGTGTAGTAGGGAGAAAGAAAGGAATGGTTAGTTTTTTTTTTTTTTTTTGGTACCAGGGCTCGAACTTGGATCCTTGTGCTTGCGAGGCAGGCAGCAGAACCACTGAGCTAAATCCCTGGCCCAAGGAGTGGTTATTTTTGTCTAGGTGAAGGTTTTAGAGAGGGTGTCCAAAATGGTTTTAATATGAAATTTCCATTTAACTAATCATTGTTAGAATCACAGACTTTTATAACTGGAATAGACTTTTGGAAGATTAAATAATTTGTCTGCAGCTGAAAGTCCCATGGTTTCTGTCAAATCCTAAACCCAATACTTTTTCACTGTGTCATTCTTGGTGTCATTTTTTGGCTACAAATCACCATAAATAACTAGGTAAACCACATATTGTAAAGTGTTTAGTTAACTAGTAATCACCACTGGTTCAACTCAAACTAGTCAGACACTGACCTTACGTGTGTCACATTCTGGACAGTATAGCACTGGCTCAGTACTTCAGTTTTTTTATTTGCTGCTTAACTTCAACTTTTTTTTTTTTTTTACTATTCTGATTTTCTTATGTTTCTATAGATTAGTGTTTTGTGCCTATATATGTATTCTTATGGCCTTGCCTGTATTTGTGACCACTGCAACAGCTCTGAGTCCTGATTTACTTGAAGTTCAGAATTAGAAGTTATTCTTTAGTTTTAGGTATTGATGAGTTCTAGTGAAATAGTCTGGATAAAATGGAACCGAAACACTCAGTGAGTAGTAATTCTGCTCTATGTCCTTGTGATTCTTTTTTTTTTTAGTATTGTTTGTGATCATATTATGTTTTTGTTTTTGTTTTGGTACCAGGGATGGAACTCGAGACCTTGCCCTTGTGAGGCAGGCGGCTGAACCACTGAGCTAAATCCCTGGCCCTGTGATCATGTTATGAAAAACTAATCTTTCCTGGCATATAACCAACCAGTCACACCCATATATACTAAATTCGAAAGAGTGCTTTATAAAAAGGGCAGCTGCTTCAAAGAATTCTCCCAATGCCTTGTATTTTCCCTAACATGAGTTTATTTTGTACCTTTTCCCCTCTCATTAGTAAAGTAATATATTCTCATTAGAAAAATTTCATTAATACATAAATGTAAAAAAGTACAGTAGAAATCACCATGCCTTCAAATGTAATACATATCCTTCAAGTTATGTACTTTTTCTGTATATACATGTGTAGATATTTGAATGAAAATTTCTATACATGATTGTTTTGCAGTCTGCTATATTAACCTGTCTTCTTTCTGATTCAAAAGTTGCTTCCTTATGATACTTTACCTGATTCTTACTTTAGTAGATTTATGTCAGTGTCTCCCTCAACTAGACTGTAAGTTTTTCATTTATTTATTTATTTATTTATTTATTTATTTATTTATTTTTTGAGACAAGGTCTCACTATGTAGTCCAGGCTGGCCTTGAACTTGTGGCAGTCCTCCTGTCTCAGCCTCCCAAGTGCTGGGATTACAGGTGTGCACCACCACGCTCCATGGTAGTTCCTCATATATTTAAATGTAAAAGGGTTTAAATCCTTCAGGTTCAGGGCCTTTTTAAATGTATGAATAAAACATTTTCAGGGCCAGGGATTTAGCTCAGTGGTTCTGCCGCCTGCCTTGCAAGTACAAGGTCCTGAGTTCGATCCCCGGTACCACAAAAAAAACATTTTCAAATACACACCTCTATTCCCTCTGTCCTGGTACCTGTACTGTTCCAAAGCAGTTGATCCTATTTCAAACATGAATCATCATTTTTTAAGTAACCAATTTCTAAAATTCCAGTGTCTTTCAAAGGAAGATACTAGCAAACCTAAACTCTGAAAAAACTTAACTCTCAACCTGAGAATCCAGGACTGGTTGATGAAAATGTTTTCTGCTGACGATTGGGTCATAGATTGTTTTAGTCCTTGGTGGCTCAGAGAGGTTTTTTTCTTTTTTTTTGGTACCAGGAATCAAACTTGGGACCTTGCACTTGTGAGGCAGGTGGCAGAACCACTGAGCTAAATCCCTGGCCCTGGCTCAGAGAGTTTTGTAGTATAACAGACTAACCCTAGCAATAACTATTGAAAGTGTGGATGTTTCAGTTTAACTCATCAACAACACTGGGAAAAAAATAGTGCAACATCATGCATCCTCATGACAGGTCAATAATAATTTTAATGTAATGTTTTTATTAGTAAAGGTTTGTACTACATAATAGTTACATTTATCTTGGGGAATTGGTACATACACTGATGACATCTTGATCATTTTTCCTCCCACTCCCCCTGCAGTTTAATTTCCTCAGGCTGTGATCTCCTTAGTGATGTGAGAGGGCATCGACATTAGGGCTGAGAAGGGAGAGGCCTCCAATTTTCAGCCCTAGTTGTGAAACACAAAAATGAGTGATTGTGGCTCATATTAACTGCATACAGATAAAAGGTGATGTTTTGGAAGATTCTGCCAGTTCTTCAATATTTTTTAAGACTAGACTTTGATATATAGCTTTGATGTGAATCCATAGTTGGTTTAGTTGGTTTGGTATATGAAGCTGTTGTATTTGATTAAAATTATGGAACCACACAACCACAAATACAGTAATAAATTTCATGTTTTTCCTGGTTTGTATGAGTAATAATCATTTACCTTTGTACTTTGGATTTTTTTTCTAATTTTCAAATTTCTATGAGGATCCTACATGAATATTTAGATTTCAACTATATCTGTTTAGTTAAAAAAGCTGCATGCTACTTTTTTTTGTCAGCGGTAAGAGAAAACTGCCTACCCTAGGCGCTCAAGGGACACACCTCTTTAGAACAGACATCAGTATAGGATGATCTACCAGTTATAAATTTCCTGCTTTTTTTCCTATTTAGAACCACCTATAGGGACTCCTAAAAAAGAAGTTCTCTCCCGAGTTCAATCCCCGGTACAAAAAAAAAGAGAAGTTCTGTGGCAGTAACGACCTGCCTCAGCTGTATTTTGCTGTCCTGAGCTGCAGAGCCGCCTGTCTTGGCCCTGGAGAGGCTTTGTACCTTTGTTAGCGTTGATACTCACTTGGGACCCATTGTGTTCCCTGCCAGAGCGGCCCTCATCCCTGGTGTTCACGAGTCTTTCAGCCATCCTCAGTTCTCGTCACCAGGGATGGGACCCTTTCTCTCCCTTCCTTTCTCCAGACATTCCATGTCCATCCTGTCCCAAATTTAACGTTAGATGCTGAGTTACCTCTAACCAGCCCTCTGTTCTTCTCTTGGTTAATAGTTACTGTTTACGCCTGTGTAGGCATCCGTTCATCTGCCCATCCCTGCCTCTCTTTCTTCTCTTTTCATCCATCCTAGTTTCAGCATTCCTTTCTTTTTCGCTTCCACAATTACCTCTTACCTTGGTATGATGATAACCTAACTGCTTCCCTCCTTCACTTTATTTTTAATTATTTTCTTTTTATCAACT